ACACTGCCAAAAAGCACATTCAGTTAAAGTCTCCCGTACTCGCTCCCTGCTGCCTAGGGGGAAAAGAGCCTTGATCAATAAGACAAGCAACATTTATTGAATATCAGATTGGATTCTGTGCTAGACACTCCACTACACCATCACATGAACCTCTCACAACAGCCCTATCAGAAGACACCAATATGCCCATTTTACAGGGGAAGACACAGAGGCTCAAAGTGCATCCACCAACAGCATTTGAACCCTTGTTTGTCTAGTCCTCAAACTGCTTGCTCTCTGCTGCACCACTTGCACTCTCATAAACGCTCGCTGTGCTGACTTCCCAGTGGTGGTAACTATCCCAAGAGAAATTTGTGTCTGTCCAAGATATTATGTAAGGATGAGCTCCTCCTTATAAACACTGACTAACTGGTCACTCCTCTGGAAAGTTCTCCAAAGTAGGGGCCCAATTCCAGCTGGGTCAGAGGAGTAGGTGGAAGTATAGGTGGTGAACTTGCTTCAAGGGGGAAAAATCATTTGCCCCACAACATCCTGGCTGGTGGGGGCTGGAATGGGTGTTCAGAATGCAAGCTATTCATTGGAGACCTTTTTTTTGGAAGGGTGCCAGTGGAAGAAGAAGCCAGCATGAATGATGGAAGGTCAGGGACAGAAGTAAGGGAAAGCCTTGCTAAGATCCACCTTCTAGAGAAAAAGACAAATCCAGAAGGCAGTGGGAGCACCTGAGTCCACATTTGGGAGGGCAGCAGGGATCAATGGGCAGCTTCAGGCCCCTGGAGCTCTAGTGATTCTGGGATCTTGGTCCTGGCTTTGCCTGGCACTTCCTTCCATTTAGGAAGTGCAGATAAGAAAGGAAATAGAAGACCTAGAGTCTGGGTCCTCATGCTGGCCCGTTTGGAGGCAGGGAATGCTAAGGGATAGTGTGAGTGCCAAGCAGAGAGGGCAGCAGGCTGGGAGCAAGGGCCTGTGGGAAGACAGTGGAGGTGGGAGGAAGGGCTGAGATCTGTGTCTGTGAACTGGCCCTGAGTTCTGTTCATCAGTCTGCAGGACCATGTGGCTCCTCTCACCATACAACGGAATTTTTTTTCACATGTAATATTTTATTTTAAAATTTATAAAGGCATGGCTTTGGTCATGATTGTTTATAGAGGTCAGATAATGCAAATAACAAGCAAATTTTTATTTATTTATTTATTTATTTATTTTGAGATGGAGTTTCTTGGGAGGCCAAGGTGGTTAGATCACCTGAGGTCAGGAGTTTGAGATCAGCCTGGCCAAAATGGAGAAACTCCATCTCTACTAAAAAAAGTACAAAAATTAGTTGGATGTGGTGTAATCCCAGATTACAGGTGCCCACCTCAGGAGGCTGAGGCAGGAGAATTGCTTGAATCCAGAAGGTGGAGTTTGCAGTGGGCTGAGATGACGTGATTGCACTCCAGCCTGGGCGACAACGGAAATTTTAAGTCTTCACCATACAATCCAGGCCTGGAGAACGAAACATCCTCCCTTCCTGACCCACCAGGAAGTGTGAGAAGGAGGAAGTGAGGGGCTGGTGTGATGCGTGGGCCCCAGAATAAAAGCAGGCATGAGAGGCTCACCAGGATGCAAAGTGGCACCTGTCAGATCTTCAACACGATTTCTGAATAATCATTTGCAGAGAGTCAAAGGCACCAAGGAGACAAGAGTAAACTCGTGTGTAACAGTTTGCTGTACATGGGAACTCTTTTCTCTTTGGCTCTTTCTAGAGCCCTCCGTCTCCCCACCTGGGCTAAAGCCTGTACATGCTCTTGTCCCACAATTGTGCCATGTATTAGTCAGGGTTCCCCAGAATACAGAATCTACAGAATGTGGATGGATGGATAGACAGACAGACAGACAGAGACAGATTTATTTTAAACAACTGATTGGCACAATTGTGGGGGCTTGCAAATCTGACTTCTGACATTTGCAGGGCAGGCTGGCAGGCTGGAAATCCAGGAAAGAGTTGATGCTGCAACTCCAGTTCAAAGGCCACCAGGAGGCAGAATTCCTCTTTCGATAGGGAAAGTCAGCCTTTTTCTCCTGAGGTCTTTAACTGGTTGGATGAGACCCATCCACATTGCGGAGAGTCAGCTTTTTTACCCAAAGTCTACTGATTTAAACATTAATCTCATCTAAAACAATACCTTCACAGTGACATCTAAATTGAAGTTTGACCAAACATCTAGGCACCATAGCCTAACCAAGTTGATACATAAAATTAACCATCACATACCATGTCATAATTTACTGTTTTTTTATGTCTGATTTCTAAATAAGATTCTTGCCCTCAGGAAGTTCCATGTCTTGTCAGGAAAACAACGTCTACTGCAGCACATGGCCCCATCAGTGGCCCAGTGAATGTCTGCTAAATTATCCAGTGACCCAATTCACTCGACAACATAAATGACCAACACTGTTAAATGTGCATGTGGAGGACCTCAGGAATGAGATTCTGAAAAGGCAGGAAGCTCTATGGTGCCTGCATGTCCCTACAGTGAAGTCCAGATTCTGTGGAAAAGACAAATTAAAGTTGCAGAACTCAGCACAACTCAATACCATTCTGGTTAGTGAATTAATCCCAACATGTCATGTTTAGAAAGGCTCCTGTAAGAAGGGCCACATAAGCAAAAGAAAAGCAGAAATCATCAGAAAATACTCCCCATGGAAGAAGAGATTTTTCCAGGGAATAGAGCTGATCACCGAACATGCTGGTCCATAGAACTGCCTACCCCAACAGATGATGAGTTTCTGGTCAGTTGGGACCACATCTTACTCAACTTTGCTCCCCAAGCAGCGAGCACAAGGATGGTTAGTATATTGGACATTCCCAAAGGCACTTTTGTGTGCCCACCCGAGCTATCCTCCTGCCCAACTCTACTGGAAGAACTTGTCTCCCAACTCCAGGCTGAAAATTGAAGATGCTTACTTTCCCAGCATCCTCAGCAGCAAGGGGTGTCATGCGACCAATTATAGCCAATGAAACAGGAGTTGGCTGGGAGGTTCCGGGAGGGAAGTCCTTCTCTAACAAAGTCACAGAAGGGAGAAGCAGTTGTGTGAAGATGTGATGCACAGAACTTGGCAACCTCTAAACCATTAGGTAGGAAGCCTGAGGAGAAAATCTCATCCCACTGAGGGAAGTAGAAGGGGTGGATGAACAGTGTCCAGACCTGTGATGACATCAGACAGCCTCTGGGCTACTGCAGAGACCCCCCTACCTATGGACTGCTTGATTTGGTGGCACTTTCAAAATATATTCAAAATCTGACTCTCTTTCTCACCATCCCCAGTACCGCCACGTGCCCCAGGCCACCACCTCCTCTCCCCACAGGGCTCCCTGCTGCTGCTGTGGCCCCTCCCAGGCTATTCTCTGCACTGGCAGCCAAAGTGAACTTCTACGAACTGCTACAAACAGATCGTGCCACTGCTCCCCCAGGACCCCCTGAACCTTCTCTTCTCACTTTGTGAAACAGCAAAAGACTTTAGACTTTACCGCGCAGATGAAGTCCTCCACGATCTGGGCCTCACCAACTTCACTGACCTCACCTTGCACCACTCCCATAGCCTGGAAGCCCCTCAAGACAGAGCACACTCCGTTCCACGAAATCTGCGCTGAAATTTCCCTCCTCCTGGAACCTGCCTGTCTTCCTCCTTCGCTTCCTTGAGGTCTCTGCTCACATGCCATCTTATCATCAAGGATGTCCCTGACACCCTGTATGAGAGCACTGTCCTGCAGAACCATCTATGACATGGAAATGCTCTATAACCTGAGCTTCCAATACAGTAGCCATTGGCCACATGTGGCTTCTGAGCACCTGAAATGCAGCTAGTGTGCTGTGGGACTGAATTGTTAACATTTTACTTAATGTTAATTAATTTAAATTTAAATATCCACATGTGGTTAGTGGATACCTTATTGATAGCTCAGCTCTACAAAATAGCAGCTTCTCCCTGCCACTCCCCCACAACTCCATGTTCCCCTTACCTTACTGTATTTTAAAGCACTTATCATTATCTAATGTACCATAAAGGTATATAATTATGTTTCTCATCTCTCTCGTTTTTTAAATGTAAGCCTCACAAGAAAAGACATCTGGGTCTGTGTTGGTTGCTACGGATCAACAGAGTCTAAAGCAGTACCTAGTACAGGGTTTGCATTCCATTAGTATGCATGGATTGGATTAGTAAATGCAGCGAAGGAGGAAAGGAGGGTGTCTTGGTCTATCCAACTTCTTAGGTCACATGTCTCGTGTAGCTCCACGAGTTTTAAATAGTCTAACCAAGAGTGTGTGGGTTGCTGAAATAGCAGGTCCCTGGTCAGCCTTCAGTTCAAATCCCACTTATGATACTTCCTGCCTATATGGCCCTTGCTCCATCTTTCTGAGCTGCACAGGCTAAGTTTTACATCTAAGCTTTTCCATCTGTAAAATGGAAAGAACAATAGTTCTGAAAAAACATAACAGAATACCTGGCATTCAATAGGTTCTCAAAGCAATTATTGCACCCCAAAATTTCTGAGTATGTGAGAACAGACTGGGGCTTGATTGGGGGAACATTTTGCTTTTCTAAAAACTCCTGCCACCTTCTAGTCTTCTACACCCTTTCACCAAAAATAGTCAAAGGTCACAAACACAAACTTTCCAAAACAATAAATGTCTACATGGCCAGAAAGAGCTGCCTTTGTGAGGTTTATGGTTTTTTCCTACTTTGTTGATTTAGATTCTCAAGGAACAAATGGCAGTGGCAATCTTGAAATAATTACCATTGTAATTCACCTCAGCCAGGGCTGTCGTGGTAATTTAATTTTCAGAATAAAATTACACCAGACCCAAAGGAAACTATTCAGACGCCTTTTCGCATTCCAAGTTTGTCAAATCGAAATCTTACTGTCAAACAGGATATTCCCAGTGCCCAGCAACCAACACACAGACACACAAATATACACACATACTTAAGCCCAGTGGTCTAGGCATTCATATTCTTACCTTTCCAAAACTCCCTTTACCAATGGCCCGCAGAATCTGAAAATGGTCCAAAATGCAAAAAAAAAAAAAAAAAAAAAACAAAGGACACAAGTCAGATTTGCCAAACCTGGTATTGCTCTTTGAATATCCTTACCTATCTCCCTACCCACCTATTCCAAAGGCTCCTGGGTCAGGTGCGCTATGCTTGCCAGAGCAGCCATCCACCCTTGAATGGACCCACGAGGGAATTGCAGCACGTTCCATTTTCTCCCCATCACCCACGTTGCCCCTCTCAAGTCTCCCCTTCACATCACGCCTCCTGATGGGGCTCTGCATTCTTGCTGCTTCACTCTCCACCCGACTCTGCCTGGCTTCTACCCGCTTCCCTACACCAAGACAGGTCAACAACATACGGCCTTGCCAGGAAATCCCATGGCATCCTCCCCTCCTTTGACTTGTCCACCCTCTCAATACTGCCTTTCACACTTCACTTCCCTCTGCGCACACAGCCTTGTCCTCCCAGGCGTTAAACACTGGAGTCTGTCAAGCCTTTGTCCTATAACAATTCTCTTATCAAGGGTTCCAAAGGCTGCAATGACCACCCAGTTGGCAGTGAATCTCCAGTGTGTCTCTGGCCTTGGCTGTAGGTGTTAATGCCTGCCCCATGGATCCTCATGGAGGTTCCAAAGCCACTGTGAACTCCACAGATCCAAAGCAGAATGCAGGATGAGTGGCCTCAACACTCACCGACTGTACCCGCACAAAACCCGGGACTCGTTCTTGACTCCTTTCTCCCCCTACCCCATATCCAGTCTTTCATCAGGTAGCTCCATGTCATCTCTGCACTGTCTCTCACACCCATCCACCCCGATGGCCACTCCTCTGGTCTAATCCACCATCTTCTGTCTCCTGGACCACTATGGTGGCATCCCAGCATCCTCACCCGACTCTTCAACTCAGGGAAATGTGTGAGACGCTGAGTGATCTTGCTTGTGCTCTGCTCCTCCCCTCTGATGCCCGCTCCATTGCTCTCAGTGGAAAAAGCAAATCCTTCCCCATGAATGCAGGGTTCCAGCTGCTTCTCCTGCCTCCCCACCCTGCTTACTCCCATCACCTACTGCCAGATATGTGAGAGTAGCCACTTCCAGGCCTTTAGTGCTCTCCTGCTGGCCCTACCCTTATTCTCTCTGCATCCCCAGAAGGCTACCCTCACCCTGCAGACTAAGTCTGGCTCCCTACGATACACTCTCATAGCACTGTGGAACTTTCCCCCAAAATACATGGCTTTGTATAATTTTACCTTTGTATATTCCATTAAGTTCACTTTTCCCTACTAAACTCTAAGCTCCCTGACTTCCAGGGCCATGTTTATTTTTCTGTTGTACCCTTAGCACTCAGCACAGTGTTTAGTACACAGCTAGTGTTCAATAAATATTCATTAACAGAAGGAATGATTGAATGAACTAATCTCCATATTCATAGCGCCCAACACAACTCCTGGTACATAATAAGTGTTCGGTAAATATTTTTGAATTAGATTGAATTACAGCCAGTTTCCAATAACTAGAAAAGACATGTTATTTAGAAAAAAATGAAGCAAATTGATTAGTTCACCACATAATGGAAGCAAGAATGTGAGGAAGTAAATGAATACAATTAGCTCCTCGTATATTAAACTTAGGCAATGGAGGATAATTATGTTGAGTGGTGTCCCTGCCAAGACAAAGCCAAAATCCAGCATGTGATTGAATGTCTAATGTGCTTAGAATAGAGAGATGGGGTTAATGGTTAACTTACTAAAACCTTGGTTCTTTGACTCAGATTTATTTCCTGTCAAGATAACCTGCCAAGAAAGAAATTCCATATTTTCACCTCTTACTCACTCACCAAAGGTCAGAGAAGAGGAAAAAAGCAATGAGCACGGACTGCAGCTTGTTACGTAACCAGCAGCATGCTGGGAAATGCACATATCCCATCCAGAAGCTCCTGAGGTCCCCACGGGGCAGATACCACTGTCAGGACCTCAAATCAGCAATGAACATCACGGGTTCCCTGAAGGTACCATGCTGCTACACGCCACCATATCTTTGTGCTGCTGTTCCCCTTGCCTGCAAGACCATTTCTCCAACACCCCTTATTTTGGGGAAGACTTTTCACTGGCCTTTGACATGCAGCTCATGCACTTGCTCTCTTGTGAAGTTTTTCCCCAACCCCCAACTAACCATTTCTTTCCTTAGAGGTAACGCTGCACCTTCTGCAGACATCTAACGGTTTGGGTGAACATGCCCCGGAGTCAGACTGCTTAGGTTCACAGCACAGCTCCACTCAGTCAGTGTGTCCTGAGCCGCATCATTTAGCCTCTGAGGTGACTGGATTGGAGGTGAGGTACATTCTCATTTGTAAAACAGGGGAAATGGAGCCTACCTTCCATAAAGAGCTCAGAATTGTGCCTGGCACACTACAATCTTTCAAAACATGCTGGCTCTTTGTCTTAAGGGGTGAGGAGCAGTCCCCTCCCTCTTTTCTGGTTTCTTCCAGTTGGGATATTGCCCTACACATCGGTGGCCTCTTGCCCCATCCAAGGTGGTGCAAGTTATCCCAGTGGTGAACTGGAAAAGAAATGGGACTGGCATATTGATGTTCACTGTGCCCTCTCTGTGGAGTCTGTCTGACTTTGGGGAATGACCTCTCTTCAGCTCCTTCTTGCCAGAGGCTTTTCAGGACCAGCTGCCATGTGGAGAGGTCTATGGGGTCCAGATTTGACACTGGTCAGTGGAAAAGTCCAGCGAATTTTGGGCTTCAGCATTAAGGAGCGCATGATTCCTGCCTTCCTGAGTTACCTTCCTTAGCTTTATCACTCCAAAGGTGAGACTTGATTCTCCATCAGCCTCCCTCTCTGTCTTGTCTCCTAACCGGAGGAAGGTGTTAATTACTGAGCAAATGGTCAAATGCCAAAAGCCATTATTACCTTAATAATTAGTGTTATCACATTGTAAATATTCCCACTCATCCATATCCCCTACAAAATTGTGGGCTCCTTTGGGGAAACTAACAGAATGTATGGGTCAAAAAGCATACACTTAATGAATGCTTGTCTGCTTATTGGACTAGATTGGATTTAGGTGACGTTGAGCACACGGCCTGTGGTTCCTGTTAATTTGGCATTTCTCTGGGGTGTACTACACTTATACTTACATAATAGCACCTAAAAGGAGACACTCTGAGTAAGTTGAAGGTTAACACTTGGTTGATAAACAGATTAAAAGGGCTTTAGTCAATGAAAATGCGAAGCCAACAATGGGTCCTAGAATCACACTGTCACCTGAGGCTGTTTGCCCAGAGTAGGAAGAGTTGGGGGGCGGATGTTAGAGGGTTGAAGAGTGGTTTCTTTGGGTGACCACCTTGTCCTGGTTTCCTTGGGGTCTTTCTGGTTTTAGCATGGGAAGTCCTGCATCCTTGAAAACTGCTCTGTCTGGGGAAAACCAGTTGGGCACCCTTGGTTTCTGATCATGAACCCATTCCATCTGAAGAAGCCGCAGAACTGCTTGGGCTGACAGAGTGATTGGATTAGAGGTGAGGTACATTCCTGAAAAGTGGTGTCTCAGCACCAGACTCAGAGAGAGTTGCAAAGGGTGATACTGCTGAAAGTGTATCACTAGGGTAGAAATGGGCACAGCATTGCTGCAACGGCAAAGACAAGGAGTATCAGTGTCCTTGCCAAAAGCACAAGGACAGTGGCACCTGCCTTGCCAGCCATCATGAAGACATCGAAACAACACATTGGGGTGTTATTTGCTCAGCCAGGCTCAATTTTCCCTTCTTTCTTGTTAACAAAACCCCAGCTCTCCTTAGGGATCACTGTGGCCAGCCCCAGGCAATGAATGAGAAGTTGCCCAGCCCCAGGTCATAACTGATCAAATCCAGTGGCATTTTCAGAATGACCTGGAACCTTGTTAAGACAGATCAGTGGTACCACCTCCAGAGTTCACCTCCTGAATTTCTTTATTTTTATTTATTTTTTTTACTGCATTTTAGATTTTGGGGTACATGTGAAGAACATGCAAGATTGCTGCATAGGTACACGCATGGCAGTGTGATTTGCTGCCTTCCTCCCCTTCACCTATGTTTGGCATTTCTCCCCATGCTATATCTCCCCACCCCCCCCCCCCCCCCCGTCCCTCCCCCATTTCCCCCCAACAGACCCCAGTGTGTAGTGCTCCCCTCCCTGTGTCCATGTGTTCTCATTGTTCAACAGCTGCCTAAGGCAGCATTAGAAAATTTGCACTTCTAAGAAGTTTGTAGGTGGCGCTGATGGTTATGGGACTGCACTTTGGGAACTACCAATCTAATTAATCTGGACAATTGTGTTCCCCACCTTTCCAGCCACTGTGCAGCCAGCAATGACCTTGTGACCCAGATGTAATCACTGAGATCTAAGCAGAGGATTGATGGAGACATTTTTGGGAAAGCATTTTTTATGTATGTGATGAAAGGGGTACACTGAGCTACAGTGGCCCTTCAACCCTCCCGCTTCTTCCTGCCTTGAATGTGGACATGATATCTGGAGCTGCAGCAGCCACCTTGTGACTATAAAGCCAAAAACATGAGCAAAAGGCCAAGACAGAGGCAGGGAAGCCACTCCTTGTTGTGAGCCTCTGAACACGTGCCAGCAACTACTTACCTTGGGACTTAATACATCAGGAAAAAAGAACAAAACAATTTTATTTGTTCAGTGGGTCAGGTTGGCTATTACTAGAAGCCAGAAACATTCTTTCCTGATACTCAAAGCCAGGCACATAGCAGTGGCTTAGTAAATGCCAACTATTTTATTGCAAATTTCTGGCCCCACTGCGATTTTACTAAGAGGTCAAAGAACAAGAGTAATTTGGGACAACAACATAGGAGCCAGGCTCGCTGGATCCGAATTCTCACTCCACCACTCAGTGGCTGGGTGGTGTTGGGGAAGCCACTTAGGCTCTCTGTGCATCAGCCTCCACGCTTATATAATGAGCATAATAAAACACCTACCTTATAGTGTTGTAAATGATGTGTTAATTAACATAAGT